TTTTAGCAATAATTACACTATTTTATACGAAGTTAGCCTCAGTCAATCATTAAAAATTAACTATTTCATAATAAATTAAATAATGTTATATGCTGATGTTTGTAATATTCTGATGTGACAAATAAATATAACTCCTGAAATGAAGATTATAGTTTGCTTCCAATATTCTCTTCATTTTCATAGTTCATATACTTATGATATATAACTGTAGAAATCACCCATTCTCAGCAATGGTCTAATTAAAAATTGGTTTAGATCACTAGAAACCACAGAAACTAACCACACACAGCAAAATATTGAAATGGGCAGAATTTTATTAAGGAATGCAAACTTGAATTTTATTAATCCTGCAATGGAGGAGCTGGCATACAGAGTACGCCAATGCCATCTTTTCGGCTGTAATTTTTAGACAACTCCTTCCTGAGCTTCCTCCCTTCCTCTACCCTCCTAGAAACATTCCATGAGTGAATTGCATCTGGTATTTCTGATCTGTCTGGTTTTTGCCTTCCTTCCGAAAGCAATTATTGTAAACATGTCACATAGGCAAACGCAGTACGCCACTCCTCCAAGTATGTACAGAAAGAAGATTGTACCTCCTGAAGATTATTTGAGCATTTTAGAAGAAGTCTCGGTTGATGAAGACTCCGACAATTTGGATAACGCATCTGATGTCAATGAATCGAAAGTCATTGAACATTCTGATCATGAAAGTGAAGCAGAAATTGAGGGAAATATTTCTAAACATCCTCCTTTTCCTTTCTCAAATGATGTTTTCCCAACAAATGACGATTTTAGTGATGTTGAAAATGACATGAGTAGTCTAAAATATGAGGACTTTTTGTAAAAACAATTTACAAAAAGAAAAAAGTTGGAGGAAAGTTTCTGAAAGAAGAAAAGGAAACTTATAAGTGGAATATTCCCGTGAAGAGCAAATTCGCCAGAATGCCTCAAAAAAATTTGATGAAAAAAATATGCCCAAGTGCCAAAACTTGTGACGATATAAATGATGAGCTTTCTGTTTTCCAGAAAATCATAAATACAAATATGATTGATGCTATCATACATTATACAAATATTTATCTCAAATGTAACAGGACTGCAGATGATCTCCAAAACATCTCAAAGAGAAGCATGTATGATACTAATAGAGCAGAAATGTTGGCCTTTTTAAGAATTTTATTCTTATTAGGGTGCAAAAAAATGTCAAAACTCAATTTGGAGGAAGCATGGGCAAAAGATGGTACTGGAATTGAAATTTTGCAAGGGGTCATGGGTCTCAAGCGTTTCAGAAACCTGTGTGCTGCTATTAGATTCGACAATAAAGGCACAAGGTATGTGCGAAGAAAAACTGATAAGCTTGCTGCACTAAGAGAATTTTTTTAATCTTTCAATCGGAACTTTCAAAACTTTTATACACCAGGTGACGAACTTACAATCGATGAGAAGTTGGAATCCTTTCGAGGGAGATGCGCCTTTATTCAATTCATCCCCAACAAGCCCGCAAAGTACGGTCTGAAAATTTTTGCAGTTGTTGACTCACGAACGTTTTATACATTGAAGCTTGAAATTTATTGCGACACTAAACCCACAGGATCTTACAAGGCTTCTAATTCAAGTACTGACATTGTCAAAAGGTTAATTGGTGCTTACAAAGGTTTCAACCATAACCTGACGACCGATAATTGGTATATAAGCTACCCGCTAGCTCAATATTCTTCTTAACGAAGGTATAACACTTGTGGGCACACTGAAAAAAAATAAAAAGGAAATTCCAAATGAATTCCAGCCATCAAAAACAAGAAAAGTCGGCAGCTCCTTGTTTGGTTTTTAAAAGGATATGACAATTGTTTCATATGCAACAAAAAAAATGAGAGTGTAATACTGCTCAGTACTTTACACGATGATGACAAAATTGACCAGGAAACGAATAAATCTCACATAATCCTGGATTATAACAAATGCAAAGGCGGAGTTGACACCGTAGACCAACTTTCACTATCGCCCGAAAAACCAAAGAGGTAGACAATGGCAATATTTTTTGCACTGCTAAACGTAGCGGGCATAAATTCGCAAGTGCTCTTGAACTTCACCAAACCTGATGCAACCATCAAGTTTAGAAGATAATTTTTGAAAAATCTAGCTACATCTTTGATGAAACCACATCTTCAGAATCGTCTGAAAATGCTGTTTCTCCTGTTGCATTCCAAAGCTATTATTAGAAGGCTGGTAACAACAGAAGCGGACAAGATGGCCAAAAGGGACGATGAACCACCTGCAAAAAAGATCAAACGACGCTGCACTGAGTACGGTAGAATGAAGACAATGGCAATATTTTTTGCACTGCTAAACGTAGTGGGCATAAATTCGCAAGTGCTCTTGAACTTCGCCAAACCTGATCCAACCATTAAGTTTAGAAGATATTTTTTTGAAAAATCTAGCTACATCTTTGATGAAACAACATCTTCAGAATCGTCTGAAAATGCCGTTTCTCCTGTCGCATTCAAAGCTATTATTAGAAGGCTGGTAACAACAGAAGCGGACAAGATGGCCGAAAAAGACGAGGAACCACCTGCAAAAAAGATCAAAGGATGCTGCACTGAGTGTGGTAGAATGAAGAATAATTACATTACCATAAAATGTTCTGAGTGTTCTAAGTTTACCTGCAAAAATCATCTGGGCATGACAGTACAACTTTGCAAACCCTGCTGCAGTGAACAGGGACAATCTGAAGAGGATTAAAGTAGCAAAAGGTTTTTCATATGTGAAATTTATTACTTACCGAACTTTTTCTTTTTGGAATATTTATAATTTGTAAATTTGATTTATTATCTTATAATTTTCATACAGAAAATAATACAGAATACTATAAAACTTTAAATTGCATTCAATTTTTTGAATTAATTACAAATTTGTAATTTCCATCTTTATTGCTATTTTTCTGTTATTCTTTTTCTTATATCATTTTTATTATGATGAATCACCTTATTAATGCCATGTATAAGATTAAATAGTTTCAAACATGAAGCAGAGGCTCGAAAAATGACCTGGCGTACTTCATATGCCGCCCCTCTAAAATTGTACCATATGCCAGCCCCTCCAGCTGAGGGTTAAGGAACCTTACTTACATCTTTATTAAATATCAGAAAACTGTGAATTCTTCTACAAATAGTTCTATTTCATTGAGCAACACAGTTAGGATCCATACTAATTTTACTTGTTTAGGCCACTAAAAGACCAATATTTATTAGGAAGGTCTATTCTGCATAAGATATTTGTACCTTTTTATAAATGACACAGAAACTTTGAATTTATTTTGAAGCACAAATAGTATTTTTTACAATTTCAGCAATCATGGATCTTTCAGTCATCTGAGTGTAACTAATTTTACAATAAGAATAATGATTACTTGGAATTAATTAATATCCATTCCATTATACTTTATGCCTTTCTCAACAATTACTATAAAAGTGAGTAATGCAAATGTTTAAAGATATATTCAACTATAAATGCACAAATAGTTCTTTATGTTTGCTTAAAAAAAAAAAAAAAAAAAAAGCGGAAATGCTAGATTTGAGCAATGCAAATGTAACTAAGCCTTTTGCTTTATATTATTGCATACATTAAGAAGAAATTTCTTTGAAAATATTGATCCTAAACTACCAAAATGCAAATAGAAGTTAACATTTATTTGATCTAAATGAAGTTTATACTTATCAACAAAATTAATTTGGTGAAATGATATTAAAAAACTATGTTTGGTATACTGAGGAGGAAAAAAAAGCCTAATATTGAACAAAAAGGAAAGTATACAATATTTTTTGAAGGACAGGCTCATAACTGTTAATGCTTTCAGAGTGTCTGAAAAGCTGTGATTTAAATGAAAATACCTTTAATAAAGGAAGAATGCTGGATTTCTTAAACCCTTCACTAATTCTTACAGTTATCCAACTTTGGATTTTTAAATTATAATGGACTAATTAATAAAGAATCCATTCCTGATTTAAAAGGAGGGCAGAAATTGGCACAATTTCAGATATTTTCCTTGAGTTATACAAAATAATGATAAACATTATAAAATACTCTTTTTAAATCTATAGATACATATAGGGCATGCTAAAGTTTTTGGGAGAAGCCTGCATTTCTTGTACTTTCTTGAGAATTTATGTAGTAGTATTGTTATGTATTCATAAAGTAATATACAATGAACTGAAACAATATTACAGATTATAAACTCCGTTATTTAGTAAATTTAATTATTGCATAATTACATATATTTGGTAAGCCTATTTAATATTTAATTTAGGAAAGTTTTTTTTTAAACATTTTAACATACTTTGAAAAAACATAGTATTTTGCAAAATTGCTTCCTTCTTTGATTTTTTTTTTTTTTTTTTTTTTTTTTTATATATATATTATATAATACTAAACTGAAATTCAGCTTATTAGACCTTGGACTAAAGTTCAACATAAATTCTACCCTTATTGTATTATAATAATATGAAAATTACAATAAGAGATAATTAATAATAAGTTACTTTAAAAATGTGCAGTATAACTTGACCTTTGAGTATCATTATTAGTTATGTTTCGTGCTTAATAAATATCTAAAAATGTCATTTTTTAAAATTTAATTATTATACAGAGTATAACAGGAATAAACGAATTATTTCAGAAGCAAAATGTATCTGAACCTGACACTCGTAGATCTCATAGTAATGGTAGACAATGATCTAGTGCCCAGTACACCACATTTTATGAGACTGGTATTGAAAATTTTTATATCACATTTAGACAAAGGTTTTAGTCATCATGGTGACTATATGAGAAAATAAAGCCCCACCTCATGGAAAAGAGTGTATAATGTATTATGTCCAAGTAAATGTTCGAATAATAGCACTTATAATAAACTTACTTTTGAAATGCTTCTTTAATGTAGAAAGTTAATGTCTTTGATAAATGTATTAATTATGCAGTTTAGCATATAAGGAAAATAAACTTACCCTTTCTTAATTCCTTTGGAACTTGATTTCTTGGCACCAGACTGACTTCGACCTTTCTGCCCTCCCCAAGATGTCCGACCTCTATCCCTGGGCAAGGCCCCAAACCCTGTAGGAATAATTCTGGCTTGATGAGGAGTATTAACAGGAGTTGCTTCATCTGATGTGCTGGAATCTGTGTTTTGCACTGAAGCACCTGCTGAATAAATTAAAACAAATACTTGAACTTTTTTAAGCATAAAATGTATATATATTGGATCATAACATTTACATACTATATTGGAAAAATACAAATGAAGTAGTACGAAAACAACCCCCCCCCCAAAAAAAAGTTTATTGAATCACAAAGCACTATTTTATTACATGACTTTTTGCCACCTCTCCAGCAGCTGCAAAATTCCTTTTTTAAAAAGAGTTATTAAGTTTATTTGTAAAGAAGTTTCCAAGGTGCCATTTGACAGTCTCCAAAGAAATGAACTCCCCATTCAAAAAATTCTGAAGTGACCTAAAGAGATGAAAATCTGAGAGGACAAGGTCTGGTTCTGGTGAATATGGGGGATGACACAGAACATCCCACCCATATTCAATATCTGATAATTCATGTAAATATCGACCAAATGCTGACATGCTGGAAGTCACTTTAATTATTAGTCAATTTTGTGCACTTTTCTCCAATTTCTGCTTTTAAACTCTCATTTGAGCATTCGAAATGTATTGCATAATTTTGTGGCACTGATTCATAATACATAATTCTTTTTTAGTCCCACGATATACAAAACATTACTTTTTTGGATGCAGCCCTGCTCTCTGTTACTAAAAGAGGTTCATTTCACTTACCTGTGATTTTTTTTAATATCCACTTCTCATCTCCAGTAATAAAAAAAAAGAGCTTCTTTATTTATTTTCAGGGAGGGGGAATAAAATGCTGAAACTCAAGCCAGCATATTCTGCTCTTTCAAAATAGGATACATTTAAAGAGCTTACATACCCAATCTTCTTCAAATGATAGTATCATCATTATCAGAATATTTAGTCTGTCTGATAGTTCTGGAACTGTATAACATTGATGTTCAGTTATAATTTCTTTTAATATGTCCTTTGTCATTTCTTTTAATATGTCCTTTTGAGGATGGTTGTCCACAGCTGGTATCATCTTTGAATATGAAATTAACTTCAATTAAACTTCTCAAATCGCAACAACTAACACTCTTTACAAAATATCTTTGAAATTTATCATCAGAAACAGCACTTTGCCCATATATAATACAAGCAGTCTTAGCTACTTTCATTTTTTGAAATAAAAGAACATAAAATGATGAAAATAATTTGGGATCCTCTATTCTAAACATAGAATTAAAAAAAAAAAAAAATATGCCCCAACACAAGCTAGAATGAGGAAGTCCTTGCTTACAGAAGATGGTAGCTCAGAGCTGATATTATCATCAAGACTGAAATTAACTTTAATTAAACTTTCAAACCACAATGACTAACAAGTGAATTTCTCAAAATACCTTTGAATGTTGTCATCAGAAACAGCACTTTGTTCATGTACAGCACAAAGTTTACAAGCTGTCTTAGTAGCCTACTTTTTTTTTTTTTTTTTTTTTTAATAAAAGACCATAATATGACAAAAATGAACTCTAGGATTCTCCATTCTTAGCACTGTATTGAAAAAAAAAAAAAAAATATGCTACAACACATGCTAGAATTATGCAAGATGAGCAGAAAAGACTGTTAACACATCTACTTAAATCAAATCACTCCTTATCACCAGTAACATAATAAGTAGAAGAAAGCAAGTTTAATTTAAATGATCACAGAACTTTCCAGATGACTCTATTTATATATAAAAAAGAAAGATGACTCTATTTATGTATAAAAAAGATTATTCACAGATGTATAAATCTAATATGAATCAATGCAATGAAATGTTTGTGTATACTTTTCCAATAAATAATCATCACTACAAATTTTCTGGACAAATAATAAATATAAATTCAAAATAATAAATGAAAAAAAAAAGCTTGATATTTTTATGAAATTCCTATTTAGGATTTTTCCACAAAATCTGCATCAAATATTTTTCATCGTGAAATCTTGAAATGCTACAATTACAGAGAAAAGAATCAATTCAAATAGATATACTTCATATCTGATCCTCTAAAAATCAAATATTAGAAATTTTATTATTTTATATTAATTTAGTTAATATCTATTTTTATTTTTTGTACGGTGTCAATAATTTTTACTGAAGATAACTTAAATCAGATGATTAAAATCAGGAATTTTCTCAGTTAATTACAGGAAATGTATTAAAATCAAAACTCGAGAAAATCGGAAATGCTTTTAAAAAGAATTTAATTACTGAATACATAAAATAGAAGCTTTTTAAAGTACTAAAACTTTTTAAAATATTTAAAAAGAAACATTAACTTTCATGTCTGTTGAGGCTTAAGTATAAATCTGATGATAAGTGCATTAATTCAAAATACATGGTGTATAATCTAGGTAAAAATGTTGTAGAAAACAGCATTTTCTCAAAAAAATTTAAAAAGAAACATTAACTTTCATGTCTGTCGAGGCTTAAGTATAAATCTGATGATAAGTGCATTAATTCAAAATACATGGTGTATAATCTAGGTAAAAATGTTGTAGAAAACAGCCTCTTCTCAAAAAAATCTAAAGCAGATCAAAAAGTAATTACACTTTTGGCACTACAAAAGTATTACTTCACATAATGTAAAAAATTCTTATTTTACAAACTCAGATATTCTGTTCTAGATATTAGTTACCATCTAAAAGTGATTTAAGCGGTAAATTATCAAAATCGTATATCTGAAGTAAAGAAATGCAGTACTTTAGTTGATCAAACAGTATGTATGTATGATGCTAAACAAATGGTTTAATATTTGCATCAACAAACAATCTGTGTATATATTTGCACAATGGACAGAACTACATATTTAGTTTAAACTATTTATACATTAGCAACACATACAAGTGAAAATTTACTTATCCTTGCTATTTACCACATTAAAAAAATTGGGAACAAATTTAAACATAAAATTCATAGCTGTATAATAGGTACTGCAGAACATGATAAAAGATAAAAGAATTTTAAAAAAAATTCAGCTCATATCTCAAGGCTGCTGAGCACATACACATGATTTATTCTCCAAAGGTTTAAATATACCCAATATTACTGAGTATGTTATTCAAATCTTAAAATATTTGTGAAATCACCCACTTGTCAGACCCAAATTCAATAAATTGTTTTAAATATACAATTTGAAGTGCATTGAAACTCAGCATGCAACTCTCCTAAAAGCTTTATAAAGAAATGGACAGTTTTCCTGTAAAATTGTGGGGCAGATGCAACAGCAAAGAACATTCAGTCAAAAGTTCTTAATATGGTAGTCAAATGAAATGCTGTAGATGCTTATTTTGTATGAAGCTAATTTCAGTTACTTTGAATAAAATTTGGAAATATAATTGCAGCATTCTTGAAGAATTAAAGTTTGAAAAGCTATTGAAAACAGCTTAAAAAATCTTGATAAAACACGCATAAAATTATTTAAAACACAATATGAACAAAACACTATTCATGACATACTTAGCATATATTTTATCCCAAAAATGTTAGTAAAAAATAAATATGCAGAAACTCTTTTATTCCACATAACACTGAAATTTATAATTCATGCTCCCCTCTTTCTGCTGAATGCTTTAAAAAAATGAGACAGTCAAGTCACTTGGCAAGCTTGAGTAACAGAAATGAGTTTTTCAGAAGAGAAAGAGAACTGGATATGATTGAAATGTTAAGCACAGTCTTCATCAACAGGGATAGAATGTTTTCTGCTTTTGAAGAATGTAAAATGTCTTTTTACGCTCCCCCCCCCAAAAAAAAAAGTTTAGAAATAAATTAGGGGTTTAAATAGCTCCCAAACTTTTTTTCTTTGTTTAAAGAAAGTTTTCTTTTGTTTTGAATGCAAATGGCAATAATGCAGACGTAATGCAAAGAGCTGCTTTAAAAAAAGTTATGTAGATTACAAATATAGTGAAACCTTAGTTCAAAGACTTAATTCATTACTGAAGATTGTTCATCAACTGAAACCATTTACTGTATAGGAATTGATGCAAAAGAGATTAATTCATTCCTGGACTACAGATGATTGCTAACTGAAAATTTACAAGAGTACATTGTGCACAAGTTCATAAGCCAAAACCAATGGAAATGATTGAAGCAAAGAGGATAGACACAACATTAAACATATAATATAGAAAAAAAGCTTAATTTGATTTTAATATGAGGAAAAATGGATGGCATATGCGAAAAATGATGAGGAAGAAGTTATTATCTGAAAACAAAATTTCCTTCTGTACGAATATCAGATCACTATCTTTAGGAGGCATATTCTTTTATCGTTTCTTTGTCTCTAAGTGCCACTCAATTCTGCTTGAGAATTGCTGACCCTTTGCTTCACTCAAAATTTGCCTGATGTGATTTGTTGTTGTTCTACATTTTAAAATGTTTTTAAAGTCTGATATGCCATTGACACTAAAAAGGTTTAAACTGAAGCTTGCTGTTGCTTTGTCAGGAATGTATCATCAGATGACAGCTTTGTCTCTTATCCCATTGCACACAAATGTCATGGATAGGATAATTATGATAATTTTTATTTTTTCCACTTCTGCAAATATTTCTTCCAAAACTGCTTTTTGTTGCTGCCCTGAAATTTTGTTGTTCTTTCTTGTTGAGCTTATTTTAAAGGTTCTTTTTGGACTTTTCCGTTTTGATTGTTAACTTCCCAATACATAATTTTGCCTACAGTGAGATAGATTAAAAAAAAAAAAAAAAAAAAAAAAAAGAGAGAGAGAGAGAGAGTTAAAAGTGCTCAGAGTTTCTGTCTGCAACCTAATATGGCCATAATTTCATGAAGGTTGAATTTAAGGTCTTTGCTGCCAGGCTTTGAAATGAGAAATTCAACATTAGAAAATATTAAAAAGATGTTTCCAGAAACCTTGAGTTTTAATTAAGTAAAATTCAAAGTTTAATAAACTTAATAAAATCACTTAAAATATTTTTGAAAATAATGTGTTGCTTACTTGCTTGTTCCTAATTTGAGATGCCATTCATCTCACAAGGCATGTTTTTAAAAAATAATTTATTCATGAACCAAATTGTTCATGAAGTGAGAG